AGGATGCTGGTGTCTACGGGAAGAAGCCAGCGGAACTCCTCGCGGGCCGAATGGCTGCAGAGGAGCATGCAGCTGCCGCGATGTCCATGGTGCTGCTTGCGATATTTGCCGTACCCTTGGCGACAGGATGGGACGTCCAAGCAGGAGCAGGCCGAGCGCGTTCAGGAGCCTGGAGTTGAACGAGTTTGCGCACCAGATGTGTGAGCCAAGTCCTCTTGATTTGACGGGAAGGAAGTCCGGGCCCTTTACCGGGCAAAGCATGGCCCCCACTCCGCTCCGAATGCCGTGGCTTGGCTGCCTATGGATGCAACGTGATGTGGGAGTGTAGCTGTAGCTGCCTCCAGCGGTGTTGTGTTGCAATGTCTTGATTAAGCACTGCGTGCAAAGTCTCTTCGCGACACTTGCTGAGACGCAGCTGGTGGAGTTCTCCCGCAGCGGGTGCAAGCCCATCAAGTTCAGTTGGGTGCGTGAAGAAGCGCGCAAACATTGAGCGCAAGACGACATTTCGCACCCATCGCAAAGGAAAAGGCGCATGATGGCGCATGCAGTTGCGCAGCCACTTGTCAAGCTCGCAGGTAGGTTATCTGATATCAATAAGTCAAGATCTAAGGCTCGTTAACCTGTCAGAGGGGCCAGCTGCTGCATTTGGTTATGTGCCAGGAAATGTTTGCACGGACATTTTCTGATGTACTTGCCAGGCATTGGGCTGTTGCACGGCAGAACGCACGAGCTCAACCGGTGTATTCTCGAGTTTGCGGATGTGCACATAGCCCCTGCCCCACATGCGATGATGGCTGTCGCTGGAAGTTCTTCTGGTAAGGCTGGTAAGGGTAGCTGATTATCAGATTGTGGAAACATTCGAAGCACGGTCGTTGGTCGAAGCTGCTTTGTCAATGTTTGGGATACGCCGAACAGTCAGAACAATGCGGGGATCCCATCATGGCAGTGTTGCGGAATCCGCACGGCATGGGTTTGCTGCAGATGGGGGCATGTGAGGATTGCACCACGTTGAATCCCATTCGCATGCGATGATGAGGCAC